TGACGCCTGCCCTGCGCCCGCACAGCCCAGAAGCCGCCTGGCGCACGCCGAGCGCGGTTTACCTGCAGTTCCGGCGGGATCCCCGGGTAGCCCTTTTCTCCTTTGGGGCCATGCTGCCCCCGCTCCCCTCGCGGCCCCAGGTCGCCCTTGTCTCCTTTCTCACCCTTGGCCCCTTCATGACCAGTGGCTCCGTTATTGCCGTTGTTTCCATGGTTTCCTTAAACAGCCAGACAGATCCCATGAGAAAGCCGCGTCACTCACACTCACCATCTATTTCTATACCACTCCCCCCCCAAATGTACAAACTTAATTGTAAAAGGGGGCCGTTGGAAACAATCCCAGATACAGCCGTGGAGGCACCATCAGTGGATCTTCTTTAGATGGGACCCCAAAAACAGCCTTGGATACCCGTAAGGCCACAGAGCCTGTTTTTCTCATAGAGCAGGAGTTAGATGAAAAACCGTGTGGAAGGGTGGTGATCAGAGCATCCTTCACAACAGCAAAGATGAGAAACCACCTAAATGTCCACCAGGGCTGGAGGGGCTCACTTTAAAAAGAAACGATACCATCGAGAAATGATGGTATATAGTCATAAAAAAGAACGATGAATAAAAATATTTAATGACATTAATAACGTTATATTTTAGATTAAAAGGTTATAAATCAATAGAGAGAGCATGATAGTACATGTGCATGTGGATATATACCATGCATGTGTGTGTGTTATATCCGAAGGGGGGAAAAAGACTGGAACAAATTACATTAAAAAAANATATATATCATGCATATGTGTGTGTGTATGTTATATCCGAAGGGGGGAAAAAGACTGGAACAAATTACATTAAAAAAATATTTACAGTGATTTTTTTTTCTCTAAATGGACGGGACATGAGTCATTTTTGTGTCATTCTACATATTTTTCTGGGGCTTTTTTTTTTTTTTTGAAGCTTTTTTGTAGAAACAAAGGACACATACTACTTTTATTACTGGGACGGAAGTAAAATTACTAATAAAAAATTAGAATAATTTTGCCCTGGCTGGTGCGGCTCAGCCCTTTGAGAGTCATCCGTGCACTAAGAGGTTGGATTCCTGGTCAGGGCACATGCCCAGGGCACATGCCCAGGGCACGGCCGGATCCCCAGTAGGGGGCATGCAGGAGGCAGCAGCTGACTGATATTCTCTGTCTCCCTCTCCCAGCCTCTCTCTCTTAAAATCAATAAAAACATATATATTCTTAAAAATTAGAATAATTTTAAAAGCAAGAATTAGATAACAATTTCAGCTCTTTGTTTTATTTTGCCACTATGGAACAATCTCTATACCTCTTTTCTTTTTATATTTGTTGAATTGCAGGCCCTTTTGCTGTTTACTCTGCCTGCTACCTTTGGTCAGGTATCAGCAGGTTTGTAATCCTTCCAGATGGATGAACTTTGAATGTGTTTACAGGTTAGTGAGCTAATGACAAAACTGTTCCTGACAGGAACATTTAGATAAGGCCAGCCTGTCCCGTCACCTCAGAAGAGTTTCCACCTGAGAAGATTTGAGAAGGGTCTGAACATCTCCCACCTCTAACCACTGCACCTTCTGCCTGCTGCCCTTGGCGGTCAATGACATTGATTCCCAGCCAGGAATCACAGGTTAAAGTCTAAGGAGGCATTTTTTCATTTTAAATTTGGTTACATTCGAGAAGCCACTCAATCAAAGTTTAAAAATTAAACCCCATTTGCTGAAGATTAGCATCAATGGGGTAGATCAGGGAAGAGCAAGAGGACTTTTGCCAAACCCTGAGAAAAGGTCCAACCCCCAGAGACTGACCTGGAGAGAAGGAAGACAATTAAACCCCAGATGGATCTGTAAGTTCCCGGATAGAGGGCACCTGGGCTAACCTTTCCTTGGCTGGCCCAGGAAACTAGCAAGTCATCCAAACCCCACACGCCTGGGACGCCACTCAGCAGAGTAGGGATGGCGGAATGGTGGGTCTAGAGGGGCTCAGTGGATCTCTACAGCATTCCCCGTGCCACCACATGTGCAGGAGAGAGAAAAATGCTCCCATGAGCCCAAGAGGGGCATAAAAGTCAACTGAGATACAGCTGAACGTGAGAGGCCAGGGGAAGGGAAATTGACCTGAACTGAGAACCTGACAAAAGGATGGGGAGCTCAGTGAGTGGCACCATGGAGATGCCTGTAACCCAGACCAGTAAACTCGCCTCTCCTTCACACCCTCACTTCATAAATGCCCTGAACGTTAGAGATAGTGTACCACACTGGCAGAGACGCTGAAACAAGAGTATGTCCCCATTACGACCAGGTAGCTCCATACTCCATGCTTCTGATGGCATGGATAATGAATATTAAAGAGATTATACTGTTCCACCTAAACTGTCTCTGTAAACTCTGTCTACCCAACTCCCTTCTGGATTTTCCATGTATACACTATGGATGATACACAAGCGGTCTCAGATTATTTGGGTTCGCCCCTGCCTCCTATTTTGGCACAGTCTGCAACTGGGTGTGCACAGGGCATCCTTACCCGGAATGCCAGGGGGGCCAGGAGGTCCAGGAGGTCCTTGGTAGCCTCGGAAGCTGTAATCTCCATGGCAACACTTGCTGCAGTCTGGGGGCAGTCCTCCAGGGGATGGAGACTTTAAAAAGATACGAAGAGAAGCTTCAGAGCAGGGTAATTAGGACTTTTAAATTTCCTCCAGCCTTGTTCCCTAGGTAAGTTTAACTGCAAACAACCCACAATAACATCAGAAAAGACAGCGTGGGGTGGGGATGGCAGTTGCCAAGGAGTCAGGGGTAGCTAAGGGGAACCAAAGATCAAAAGGAAAAGGAAACAAGAGAATCAGCAGAAAAACATACTTTTTGGAAAGGAGTGTGCGTGGGGGTGGGGGCCTGGGCAGCATTCCTGAGAAGGACATTTTTGCTGCTACAGATGACAGCAAAAGAGGAAAGTCCAGAAACATCCCCTTCCTTGCCAACTGCCGGGAGCCTCAGGTGTAGCTAGATTGAGTAGATGACCCTCAAATGAGAATTACCAACTTTTTACTGAACCTGTATAAGATAACTGTTAATACTCTTTTTTTTCATGGTTTATGTAAATGTTATACTAGATGCCAAATACAGAAGTATGAGGCAGAAGCAAAACTCAGGTCATAACAGTTCACAGGATAGAAATGCTCCAGAGTGGCTTTTTTTCTCTGGAAAAAGACTTGACTGTCTTTCATTTATTGGCCTTTCTCCTTTTGGCAAAAAAAAAACAACAAAACAAAAAAACTTGGCCTCAACTCAAATCCCATGGTTATGGCATTGGCCCATCCCCAGTGGTCAACGAGACAACGCTGATACTGAGACTTCCTAGGAATTAGCCTTCCTAGCTCTGTGAGACCACACTGTCTGACCAAAAGGTTGGTCATCAATTCATACTTTGGGTTAATTTATGACCAAAAGGGGGAACTGTGCTTGAAGGGGAGGAGCATTCTATGGAAAGTTACCTCACAAAGTGATTTGATCATAAATTCCTAACTGGGCAGGTCATGTGGGTAGTCACCCCCCAGGCCTAAAACCTCTTTATTGAAAGGTTTTAAGCCAGTTCTGTCCATTGTTCTTGTGCACCTAGATTAACACACCTTCGAAATACCAGAAATAATATCCCTTGAAGGAGACATTAACTCTCAAGGAAGCACATAATCTTGTTAACTATCCTGTAATCCAGTCCCCACCTTGCTTTTTCCAGTTTTCCTTATGTCCCCTCCTTCATTTCAGATGCATAAAAGAAGCTGCAAATCTGTTAATCTCTGGGCCATTTAATCTTGCTCCCTGGCATTGTCATCAGTTTGCCTCAAATAAACTCATAAAAATCCTCAAAAAACCCCACAGAGTTATCAACTTTACATATAGTTATTAAGACTATATTCATGATATTGGGTTAAGAGTTCTTATAAATTCTCAATTGTAACTCTAGCTTTTCACACACAGCCACAGCACACTTAAATTACCTTAGGAAATCAAGGAAATTAAGTATTCATTAGTCCAATAAATTTTCATGAAATATCTCATTCTAAGCTTGGTTTCACTTGAGAAGCCACTCAAAAGTATTTTTAAAAAATTAAACTTTGGTTGATGAATATTAATATCAATGGCAGTAAGTCAGAGTTGTTTATCTTGAAACAACTTTAACTTTCTCTTAATAAATATTTAATATGATGTTCTGTTTTGTATTCCACTTCAAAATTTAAAGTAATTATATTGTTTGAACAAATATTTAATGAATACTAAATATATTCAAATATGGCACTGAGTTAAATGCTTATTGCCTGGCCAGGTGTGGGTCCGTGGTTGAGCAATGACCTAGGATCCAGGAGATCGTGGTTCAATTCTGGGTCAGGGCACATGCCCAGGTTGTAGACTTGATCCCCATTTGGGGCTCTGCAGGAGGCAGCCGATCAATGACTTTCTCATCATTGATGTTTCTCTCTCTCTCCCTCTCCCTTCCTCTCTCTGAAATCAATAAAGATATATTTAAAAAAATAAATAAATAAATAAAATAAAGATAAATTTCTAAAATTTGTGCTTTCATTTCAAAGAGCTAGAGATCTAGGGCAAGTTGATTGGCAGAAGAGTTAGAGTGGCTTATAAAATTTGGAGTCTCGCCTAAATTGGCAACTTGCCTTTTAATTATATAATACAACATACTTGTGGAAACTTTCCTAGACACCAATTGTAATTCAGTGGTTTCTTGAAAACAGCATACTGTTGCTAAGGGATTCATTAAAAATAAAAAAGGAGGGAGGGAATGAGAAAAGAAGAGAGAGGGAGAAAGGGAGGGAGAGACAGAGGGAGGAAGAAAGACAGTAAAATTTACGTTTTCTCTATCATTAGAAATTCAAGCAGAAAAGTGAATTAAGGCTTCACATTGCTGTACAGTTAGACATCACTTTTTCCTAAAGGTTTCCACCAAGCTATTCTGGGAAAATGCAGAACAGCCTGTGTAGTCCAGGCATAGTGCTGCAACAGCTCAGAGCCCAAGTCTTGAGTAATCAGGAGCTACGATTTTGAGCTAACTCTTAGTCCAGTCTTCAGTGGACCAGACCCAACTATGGACAGATATGAGAATTCATGAAAACCTTTTATAAAACTGGTGGAGAAAGATAAAATCAGCAAAAGTAATTGATCTGAGATGAGGGCTTTCAGACACTTGAAAAGTCAGACACCACAGCACTGCCCCACCTTCTAACCCAAAGATGCAATCTGAGAAGTAAGTATTCCGTAATTTCCTAGTATGCTCTTGCTAAGTGAAAATACAGCTCTTAAGCTCCAAGAAATCCAGTGCCAATAATGGATTTTAGAGAGGAAGGGAGTGGAAGGAGGTAATATCCTCACATGGAACCATTTGTTTAAGAATAGACTTGGAATACTGAGATGTTAAGGATGTCAGAAAGATAACTGGACTGGAACCTGAACTTCCATCTCAATTCCATGTGACTTTTCCCCAGACATATTTTGTCTTGTCTACTAAATTAGAAGATTAAGATGGTCATGCATTTTTTTTCCAGCTCTAAGATGCAAACAAAGATACTAAAGTATTTTCCAAAACCTAAAATAATGACTTAGAAAGACTTTGTTTTTAAAGTCTAGTATCTAGGCAAGAGAAATTAAGTCCAGGAGGTGGAGTTGCTCAGTACCAGAGCTAACTAGAACTGGGGTGCATGCCCAAGCTACTTGGGGTACTTGGAGAGCATAGAGCTGCCACCAAAACAGGGAGGGACTTCTGGTTACTACTAGTTGGGCACCTCCTGAGAACCCTGCTACAACATTTCACCACATGTTCCTCCTTCTGGCCTGGCTTTTGAAGTTCAGTCAAATGGAGCAATGTTTGTGAGGCTTTTGATGGACTCTTAGAATAAGATGGACAGAATATGTTAGTTAAGACACTTTCTCCTATGTAAGGGAGAATTAGGTAGTTACCGTATATCACCCTCTTAAGTCTATCAACCCTTTCCCCCAAATTAGGTCAAATTTGAACACCAAGGACATGCAAATTGCAATATGGGAGGAAGGTGTCTATAAGACAAGTTCTGTCCATTTCGTAGATGGAGGCCTAGGAGCAGCTACTCAGAATTCAACTCTACCATTAGTAAGTAACTTCTAGGAAAGGGAGTCTATAGCTCCTTCTTTAACCTCAGTAAGAGGGAAGAGAAAGAAGGAGAGGGGAAGTAGGGAGAGAGAGAGAGAGAGAGAGAGAGAGAGAGAGAGAGAGAGAGAATGTCCAGAACGAGAAGGGGAGACCAATAAAGGTGAACGATGAAGAGCTGCAGAGAAGAAAACTCCAGGAACTGTGAGTCCGGGTCTGCTCACCCCCATTTCTGCACACTCCAATCCATCATGGGCCCTATGGGCAGAGTCACCTTTCTAGAGCCCAAACATGATCACCTCACTGTCCTGCTGTGAACAAACAAGCAAAACTCTTGCTGGCAAAGTAAGATCTAAGCTCCTTAAGGGGCCAGCAGCATCCTCCAGCCTGGCCCTGAAACCATCCCATGTCTTCCTTCCACCTTGTCCATGGAGAGCCATCCTCTTGTCTCATCTTTGAGATCCAGCTCAGTGTCTGCCACCACTCTGACACTTTTTCCCCATTTGCTTTTTGTGCATTGACTTGGTCACATGGTATTTAGTTGTCTGTTCATTTGTTCCTATTAGAACCCTTCAGAACTGATCAGAAATAGGAGCTTGGGCATATTTATGCCCATCCTAAAGCTTGGCACCCAGGAGAAGCACAGGAAATGACTGGTGAAAGAATGAATGAGGAGAAGGGAGAATTAAAATAAAAGAAGAGGGGAGGGGGAAGTGGGGTGCAGAGGAAGAACACAGTTCAATCCTAAATTCATTGTGGACTCCATATCCATTGGCAGAAGAGTTGTTTTGAAAATGTCTAGAATATCAATGACTGAACCTCCTCAGCATCTTCTGTTAGGGGTTTGTTTGGAAATACTTTAGGAAACCAGGGGTGTTTTAAAGCTCCCTGACTTCAAAAACAGCCTGAAAGTGGCTTCTTGCCTGCTCCTCTGATGTCAGCATACTAGATGCCTAGGGGGACTACAAGTGGGGTGGAGTGGAAACTAATTTGGATTTCAGTGTCTGATGTCAGCATACTAGATGCCTAGGGGGACTAGAAGGTGGGGTGGAGTGGAAATTAATTTGGATTTCAGTGGCCTGCTGGGTGTTGGTTGCCAAGAAATAATGACTGATGACAGTCCACATCTGCTTTCTGCTGCTGCCAGGGGCTCACACTGCCAGGAAGGATCCAGCAAAGATCCCATCCACTGAAATAGAAAGTCCAGATCAAGGCTTGGACAAAGTGAAAATATCTCCACCACTATGGAAAACACAACTTAGCATCAATCACCCTTTAGCCAAAAGACTGTCAGATGAAAGGACAATCTCTAAAAGTGGCTTTCAAAAAGAGATTGTACTTAAAGGTTATTATTTCTTCTGTGGCTCCTTAAAGAAGCAATTTTTTTTTTTTTAAATCCTCCCCTGAGGATATTTTTCCATTGATTTTTCAGAGAGAGTAGGAGGGAGGGAGGGAGGGAGGGAGGAAGAGAAACATCTATGTGAAAGAGATACACCTTCAGGTTGCCTTCCGCACGTGCCGTGACGGAGGCCAGGGATGAAACCCACAACCCAGGTACGTGCCTTTGACCGGAATTGAACCCACGACCCTTTGGGCCTCAGGCCGATGCTCTAACCACTGAGCAACATCAGCCAGGGCAAGAAGCAATTTTTTCTTGACACAGCCCCACAGAATTGTGTGGGTAGAAGTCCCAGGTTAGTCCCAGATCTACAGATGATTCTATGTGTGATCTCGGTCTGATCAGATAACCAGTCTCAGTGGAAACTTCTCCATGTGGTAGAAGATTTCAACAGCGTGTGCCTTTTTGCAGCCTATTTAAATGCATCAAAGTGGTTAACTCTTGTACTAAAACCTATTTGTTCAAAGACCATATAATTCAAAGGAGCTCTCCTTGCCCTTTCATCTGATTTCAGCATGTTGATACTTAGAAAGTAAATCAATACCTGTTTCTTCCTTATATTGTTCACCTGAAACCGATATAATGTTGTGTGTCAATTATGCCTCAATTTAATTAAAAAAAAAAATACTTTTTAAAGACATTTAAAAATCTGTTTCTTCCTGTTCTTAATGTTTAAAATTGAGTTCCACCAATTTGCCATTCACTACACTGAAAATTAACTCACTCCCATACTACCCTAAAAGAGTTAAAAATGTTCCCTTATTGCTGAGCTTATACTCAGAGAAATTAACCACGTCCTCTGTGATTATCAGGCATTAAATCATACAATAAGGTTTACATTTTAAATATACAGTCTTTTCGTTGGTTTGAACTCTTTGATCCCTTTTAAAACAGGCTGAACATAGAAACGTAGCAACCTAGAATGCTATAAATCAGATCAACAAGCCTGGCATAAAGCATCACAGAAAACTCTCAGATCAAAGTGAAAAACCTCAAAGGGCAGCTTCTCCCTGCTGGCAAGGATTCAGAACGTGCGCCTCGCTTATGATCTGCAACTGGTCACGGACGGCCAGCGGGTGATCTGCATAGGTCAGTGTCCTCCTTTCCACACCAATGGAAGAGAGAAACCAAGTCACAGCCGAGCAGGGAGCTGAGGGCCCCTGCTGTCCTTCCTGATGGGGCGCCACTGCACCCTCTCTCTATCCCAGCACATCCCAGCCACCTCTGCCGATTTTCTAACAGAGACCCACAGTCCCCCTCACAGCACAGAGCAACCCAGAAAGAGACCCACACGCAGCTCAGCAAACGTCTCAGAAACACCCATCCTCAGAATCACAGCTGAAGCGAAGCGCAGGCACAGCCACACCCACGAAGCACTCACAGTACATCCTTAGAAGAGAACTCTGAGTACCTGGCCCCAGAACTCGGTGATCTGGGCTAGGTCATCTACCTCGGGGTGCGGTAGCTCATCTGGTCTCAGGGATTTTAGGTCTGCAGAAGTGTTATTATCCACAGTCCCCGTTTTAGGATGGCTCCGCTCTCTCACTTTCTCCCTCCTGGAGCCACTATGGACGGTCTGCTGGTGGCTTTGCACTATCCTCGCCACCACTTTATTAGCTCTTCCGCTCACCTCCATGTATTCATCTTGACACAGGCAAAATGGGAGGAAAAGCAAAGCCAGCAGGTGCCAACAGATGAGCTGCCCCGGCATGATTCTCAGCAGAGCCACGGAGCCTCCTGGAGAAGACGGCCCGGGCTCCAGGCGCCGTGGTCTCCTCGGGCAAGTGCCAGGGCTGGAGACGAGCGCTGCAGCCGGCGTGGTGGTTTTATACTTCGGTGTGTAATAAATAAGGCTGCAGGCCTGCCAGAGGGGAAGCTGAACAGCCCATTCATCACTTCCCCACATCACAGCAAAACGGATTTGTGTGCGCGGCTCCCAGTTGCTGGGGTTCATAAATGTCACACCTTGGCACGTTTTTTTTGTGGGAGTTTTTTGGGTTTTTTTTTTTGTTAAAGTGTGAAGAAAACATATGCAACCAGCTGGAAACAGGGAGCATGTGTCCAGTGGTCTGCTTTCGTCATGAGACATGGAAAGGCTGTGCCTCCGCAGTCTCAGATGCCTTTTGGAAAAGCCTCCCGTCGGGCTTGCCAGGAAATCCGGGCTTAACTGCATCCATTCTGTCTGAAATGGCAGTGGGAATGCATTCAGGGCCATCGAGAGAGCTGCACTCTCTCTGAAAAGTTAATATTTCCCTCTGTGGTTGGCTTAGAGGAACTCATTTCCCCTTCTGGGCACCAGTAGCAGGAGGCAGCTGGGTGATTCCTGAACCCTGGGCTGGATTCAGACAGTCTCTGGGTTTAGCAAATGCATTTCCCTGTCCCAGCAGATGCGCTTTCCCTGAGCTTGCAAATGTTTAGCAAACAGATTTTCCCTGAGTTTCCAAGAGCCAAAGTTAAGTCAAAGTTGACCAAGTTGCTTATGGTCAGATAAGGACAGAACATCCTGCTTTGTGTTAAAAGAAAATCCTCTCTGGTTACTCTTCCTTCTGACATATTCTTGATTGAAATTGAACAAATGGAAAGCGCCGAACCAAACACGCTACTCTGAGTATATCAGGATGGAGGGGATTCTCATTTCCCTTATTTTTCTTGCTACACTTTTATTAATTCAGCCAAAGACCAAATGGACATCCCTAACCTCTTTGTGACAATAAATTAAGAGAATTTATATAGACTTGTCATTTAAAATTGCTTCTACCTACATACTTCATTTAATATTACTCATTCATTCAAATGATAAGAAGTCACTGGCCCTCCCCCAGGAAGATTGAAGAGACCCCAGGACTTGCAGGGGATGGATGAATGGCAAGTGCCTGCTGCCAAGTGGACAAGGGGGCACTGTTAGAAAGCCAAGGCTCAGAGAAGCCAGGCCTGAAGATGATGCGGCAGGGCAGCTGGAGAGAGGGAGGAGGTGAGAGGCCTGCTCGCAGCTGCCCTCCTCACTCAGCAAAGGGGCCCGAGAGCCAAAGCCATCTCCTAACTCAAGTTCTATCGCTCCTGCAATTGCAGGACAGCCGCCTCCAAACCCAGGTTTATGCATCGAAAGGATCTGGTGCTGGGGATGGAATGAGAGTGGAAGTTACTCTGTAAAATAGAAAGTCTGCAGTTCACAAATGTAGGGGCCTTGAGAGTCATGCTTATTTGAAGCAGACAGTTCCCACCTGGTGGGGTGTAAGATGCCTGACCAGCCCCATTCCATAAGTCTACCTTTAGTTGTCCAAAATTTCCTCCCTGGAGGATTCTTTGCTTTCTGCGCTGAGCACTCCAGGCAAATACCCCTGGGAGGGCAGCACATCAAGCTGTTATCTGGCATGAACTCTTACTGGGGACTTTTTATCAGACCTGGAGCTGGAGTCAGGAAGGAAAGCACCAGGGTCCTGTGAGCAAACAGGTGGATGAAATATTGCCATGGGAGGAAAGGGCCAGAGTGGTGTCCCAGTGGGGTGTTCCCTCATGAGGTAGGCCACAGGCAAGGAATGGCTCTGAAATCTAGGTCACCTAATTCACCAGTTTTCTAAGAGCTGCTCTGGCAGCTCCCACAGCCTGGACCATCCAGCTAAGCGGCTACAAGTCGACCTCTTCTGACTTTCAACTAAACTGAGGTTTTCCATTGGTGTTTTCAATCCTCTCATCTATTCTAGTGGTTCTCAATCCTGGCTGCATAACAAAATCAACCAGGGAACTTCTAAATATATGAGTGCCTGGGTCCCATCCCAGACAAATTGAGTCAGAATCTCTCATGGGGCCTGGGCACCAACAGCTCTTTAAAAGTTCACCGAGAGGATTCAAACGTGCAGCCAGGATTAGAAATCACTGACCCATCCTCTCCTTGACTCACCAAGAATAAATAATAATAATAGCTATACTTTTTTGAGCACTTACCATATGCCAACCAAGTACGTCTTTGCTCAGCTCATTGACTTTTCTCAGTAAACCTGCTATCTTATAGATGAGGAAACAGAGGCTCAGAGAGGTAAAGTGACTGGCCTGGAGTAACCCAGCTGGAAAGGGATCATTAGGATCTGCCTTCATCTGTCCCCCTGCCTTCCTCCAGAGAAGCAGGGGAAGACCAATGGTAGGCTGACCGCAGACAGAAGGCCAGCTCATAGCTCAGGAGGCCTGCCCTCAGGAATCTGAGGTCAGAGAGTTATGAGTTAAAATGTGTCACCCCAAAAGATATTGAAGCCCTAACCCCCAGCACCCGTGAGAATGACTTTATTTGGAAATAAAGTCTTTGTAGATGACCATGTTAAGATGAGGTAATTGGGATGGGCCCTAACCAGATATGACTGTGTTGTTATAAAGAGGAAACATTTGGACACAGAGACAGACACGCACACAGGGAGATTGCCACGTGAAGATGAAGGCAGAGATCAGGGCGATGCATTTACAAGTCAAGACACCAACGAGTGCCAGCAAACCAGCAGAAGCCAGGAGAAGGGCATGGCACAGATTCCCCTCCCCGCAAGTCTTCAGAAGGATCTGACGCTGCTGACACCTTGATCTCAGATGTCGAGACTCCAGAACTGAGACGATAAATTCCTTTCATTAAGCCACCTGGTTTGTGCCACTTGGTTATGGCAGCCCCAGCAAACCAATACAGACAGCATGTGGGGAAACCTGCAGAAACCCCAGCCGAGGAGATGAGCCAGATATTCAAGTTCACAAATGAAGAGCAGCAAACCTGACCCAGACAAGACTCCCCAGCCTCTCAGTATAGGTCTTTTCCTTTTCCTCCAGTACCTTCCTATTAAATGCATTTTAAACCTTGGCTTATTATTAAGTCTTACTTGAGGTTGCCATGTTATATGTGCTCTGGCCACATCCCTTGTTCAAAGAAGTGAATGAGAGTTGGGCATAATTTCTTGCCTGTGGGCTGACTATTGGAAACACCTAGAATTGGGAATCTCACTGCTGAACCCTGTCTCTGTCTGTGAAAGCTCACAAAAGATGCCTGGGGACACCCCTCTGTTGAGGTGCATGGGGACTGCCATTGACTCTTGCTTGCTCAGCCGGCCCCAAAAGTCCAAACAGGATGCTGGCACCACCAGCACCATGAGCAGCAGTGGTGCACATAAATACCTAGGTGTGCAGTCAATTCTGTGCATTGAGGCTACCAGCCCCAGGCAAATATTTGTTTAGCCTTACAAAGACAGGCCTTATGAGAGGTGTAGATGCCCTGTGGCCTCCCCCGGGGTGCTCCGATGTGGCTTTGGCAGAAAGGAGATCAGTTGTGGTTTGGCAGGGGACAGTGAAGGACTGTGTGAGATTGAACATGTCTTTATTTCAGTGCCAACTTAAAGGGTAGCTGAAGAAGACGCCTGTTTGCAGGATTTTCAGTAGTGGAGTGTGTGTGACTCACCTCTCTCTACCCCTTCCCACTGAAAATCCTCCCTGTACTCAGCTCAGTGAGATTCGCAACTCAAAACTTGATCCCTTTGACCTAAACAAATTAGAGGTTTATTAAAATGCAAATAAAATTAAAACACTCCCTGAGATGAAGTAGTTTAGCTGTATTGATCATTTATACCTTGATATTGAAGGCTTTCTCAGATCCTTTTCAGAGAAGTTTTATTTGGAGAAGAATTAAAAGAAAGGAACATGTTTTTTCAAAAAGGGGACATTGTCTTTCAATATTACCTATTGCCATTTAAAGAAAAATATTTTCATGCTTAGCACCAATCTGAGGTAAAATCAGAGGAAGAACAGAAGAATTGGTCAGTTAGTCAGGGTGTCATCACCGTGGTGGAATTAATTACACAGTTTCAGGTCTGACCCTCACTAGGCAAGTTCAGGAAACATGTTGCCAGGGTCCCAGGAGTGGATTTGTCTCCATGGCCAAAAGAAGGCTGTCAGAGACTGAGGTATACAAATAGCATTCAAATAAAAACTATAACTCTCAAGTGGACTATACATGTTTTACTGAACAACAAATTGTCCCTGTAGGAATTCTATGTGAGAAGACAATTCTAATCAGAGAGATGTGTGATAAACAGGAAAGTGTGTGTGTGTGTGTGTGTGTGTGTGTGTAATAGAATTTGTCAGGCAATACAGTATTCATGGCTGGTATCATCAAGCATTTTTGTCCATAGTCAGGGTCCAAAGAGAAAAACAGAAACCACCCCAGGTATTTCAACAGAGAAAATATAAGGAATGGATTGAACACAGAGATCGTAATTGCAGGAAGCAAGCTGGGAGTTGAAAGAGAAGAGGTTTGTGTTATTAGAATTTAGAAGCTGGAAGAAGGGACCCTGCAGTGCTGGGACTCAGATGACTGAGGACAGGTCACTGCCCAACTAAAGCTGGCACCTTTGTCAGGGTGCAATGAGGCTAATAGAAAGATGCTGGCCTGGAACCAATTACAGCTACCAGAATAAAGGACCATTGCTCAGATGACAGAAAAACAGTAAGCAAAAGGAACGAGCAAGCGTCTTCTGGGCTCCTCCCACCTTCCAACACCTCGTACTGGTTGACAAAGGAGAAAAGTAATTTACAGAGTCCCAGTCCCAGCATCACAAAACAGAGCTTTAAGGCTGGGGGTGGAGCTGAAAGACAACAACGATGTAGCTTTTATAGCCTGATGCACCAATCTGTTCTCTAGATGTGTTCCTGCCACTGGGAACAGGTACTCAAGTTCCTGGGGCAGCGCTTGAGGTACATCATCCAGGTGGGTCTGTCTGAATTCTCCTTTTATAGATGTTTTGCAGTTCATCTCTATTTTTCCTAATAGTTTCTTTCTTCAGACAGAAGACAATGAAATTACACAAAATCTTTCCTATTTCCCCCAGGCGATTGCACCAAGGACACCTGGATTAGATTCAGAGTATTCACAGATGACCTTCTGAGTCTTTCCC